CTTTTATACATAGTTTGCTTACATTAGCCATGGTATATGCAAATACAGTACAGACTATAAGATTTATTACTTCCTTGTATTACGTTATTCTGACAATGGAAAGATAAGCTTTTGCATACGTCTGGAAAAGAATATCCTTAAAATCGGAATGGGCAAGACATCCTGAAATTTAGCATTGTCTTACATCCTATAGAAGAAATACCTTAGTCTGTCACAGTCAGCATATTATGTAAGTATTCAATATCCCTTCAGTCAGCAATAATCATGTTATAAACCTTATAAAAGCATAAAATACATATAAACAAGTTAACTATTTAATATTCTTACATTCCCCTCTTTGAGCAATAAAACAATTGCTCATCTTATCGATAAAATCTTACCAGGACAGAGAAACTTCCACATGGTATTTTCAGGGGTGCTAGTCACTCCCTGCGGGACTTTCATTAATTTCTTCACCTCGATTCCCATGTGGTAATTCCTAAGGCCCAGTTTAAAGATGGGTTGATACTCTACAGTGGCAGAGAGGAGAATTTCTAATTGTTTCTGTTCTGCATTATGGATTCATTTCTGTACTCTCTTCCTCAATGTACAAGTAAGATGGCAGTTATATAAAATCATACACAATAAAATCAGGACTATAATAACAAAAGGATAGAAGAATGATTTCATTATCTGAGATCCAGTAGGGGACCAACCAGTAAAGCATTGTACCAATCATGGGCTAAATCATTCTGAATTTGTGAACTCACCTTAAGGAGTTCTCCTTTTAGGATATGTGTGGCTACCTGTGTGTGTTATCTTTGGGAAAAATATAGTCCCCTGTGTATGTGGGTGCCCACCAGGTTAAATTCTTGGCAAAAAGATCATAAACTGGTACTGGTAATGTGTTAAATTGACAAGCTAATTTAACATCCTTTGATGATGTATGATATAATGTAAAATAACATGAGCATGAAAAATGTGAAACATTACCAGTTAACCATCCATTGCATTTACTGGATTGGGGTTTTAGAAGTAACCATTCATTATCTGTGAGGTTACACATTCCTCTAATCTTCTCTAGTTTGGGAATCATTAGTGTGTTTTCTAATGCCAATCCTTGTTGTATCCATAAATACCTGATGGCACAAGTACTCCAGTTACTTAGACCTGTAGTGAATTTCATAGTTGCAACAGTTAAATTACCTAAATAATTATACATTGATGTATCTAAATCCAATCCTGTAACCTGTGATTTAACAACAGTTGGAACCCAGTTTGCAGTAGCATGGAAACCAGTCCCTATATGCATGCTGGCTGTGTTTAACTTATTCTTGAGGGTCTCCATATCTATAACTATTTAGTATACCCATAGTGGTTCCAGCACCTCCTAACAGTGTGTCATACCATTCCCTTTTCTGCCTTTGTTTGTTGTATTACATAATGTTACAACAAGAGTAGTGACTTTTAATGACACATGTACAGCTTGTAAGAAGGCAGTTGTATTAACACATGTGGATGGAATAGGTGTGTGTGTGTCGTGTTTGACTTTTGGTTCTATGGTAGAGGATAAAGGACAGTAATAAGGTGTAAAAATATAAGGTAGTGTATAGTTCTCAATTGTAGTGTCGTTCATAATGACTAACATTTGTCCCCTTCTCCAATTAATGATACCAGTTATATAATCATTATTAAAAGTAATAAGGCCTGTCTGTTTACATTGATATGCAACCTTAACTGTGCACATTTCTGCGTTATAAGATCTAACAATTTTCTGTGAACCTTCAAACAAACATAATGCATTGGTTTCATTAGCTGTGGACACATTCCATATGGGTAACTGGTACTTATAAGGGTTACTATTTGTCCAATTCATCCAAATGCGTTCAGTGAATGAATGATTGCATATTGCATGCTGATAGAAAGGTGGTGGAGAAAGGTTCTTGAGGGGGCGTGTGTGACGAATGCTAGATGAGGGGCTAAGGCCTAATTGGGCTGGGGTATTGAAGAATTGTTCATCATGTCAGAGTCTTTTTCCAGAACTTGCCATTGACTTGTACTCATAATGGCATTCAAGGAACAATATCAGAGGGAGTATAACAACTCCAGAAAGCATAGCGCACAACATAATCTTGGTCTCAGGTACGTATGATCCTCTCAATCTACGATATGGTGTGAAAACCATGATGCTTCGCTGAGGAGAAATTCTTCTGTTTCCGAGCGAGGAGTGGTGTTGTCTTCCTTGGTTCCCCTCTTTGGACACAGCTTCACTCGGGATGCGTGAATCCAGATGTCGTGGGAATCTGTGAGGACAGCGGTTCTGGTTACAGCAATCACAGTAGCAGGTGGTCCAAAAGGGTATCCTCCTTTCTTGGTCCTGTTCAGCTGACGGATATACACCTTGTCACCGGGCTGGTATGAATGAGTAGGTTCCTGTGAAGGTAAGGGAAAACTGCGAAGAAACATTGTCATACATACCATTCGGTTTTATCAACAATTCCTGTACATATTGTTCTTGTATTAGCTGTAAATCCCCAGACATTATAACAAGCGGTTCCCTGGCCCAGGGTGTGGGAAAAGGTCATCCCATCAAAAATCTCAGATGGAGATAATTTAGTCACCTTGTGAGGAATCACTCTTATCTCAGCTAAAATAGCTGGTAGATATCTAGTCCAATTTACCCATGTTCCTGGGTAAATTCTGGGCTTTTCCTTAATAGTCCTATTCATCCTTTCAACTACCCCTGTATTCTGTGGATGATAGGGTATATGAAACTGCCAGGTAACTTGCAAGAATTTAGCAAGTTCCTGGGCAACCCTACTGGCAAAAACCGGGCCATTATCAGAGCCAATCTGCAGAGGGCAGCCATACCTGGGAATAATTTCAGTAACAATAAACTTCACTAGCATCTTCCCTAGATGTCACAAAGGCCTCATGCCATCCACTAAACTGATTAACTATGACCAGTAAGTATTGCTGTTTCTTACCAATTTTGGATACATGAATAAAATCAATCTGTAAGTGTGTAAAAAGAGCAGCGTTCACACGATCTTACAAAAGACTGTACATGCTGCCTGAGATTCCTAATATAAAATGAATTCATGAGGAATTGAATGGTGCTTGCTATGTGCCTGACTGATGAAAATAAATCAGCTTGCTTCAAGTATGCCTATTCTTCAAGTATGCCTATTCTCCCCTCTTTAGAGAACAGATCATTCTGATCTTTCTCTAAACCTTATTTAATCCAAAAGACAGATTCTGGGTATTAAAAAAAGAATCTCATAACCACTGAAGCGCTGGGCTGTCATGTGTTGTGTGGTGAGATTTGTCAGCTGAGTGACCTGGTGACTGGCATGAAGTATTGTATGATGCCCTAGTGTGATAGTAGTAGCAGTTTCAACAGCCATTGCACATGCTATCAATGCTCTGAGACACGCCGGCATACCCTTTACCGGAGCTCGAACTACTTTGGAAAAGAATGCTATGGGACGCATACCGCCTCCTTGCTCTTGTGCACAGACCGCGGCCATGGTTTTACAATTGTCCCAAGCATACAAATGAAATGGTTTACAATACACAGGTAGTCCTAAAGCCTGGGCTTGCACAATAACAACTGTAAGGGCAATATATGCAGCTAGCATGTCTGGTGACCAGCAGACATTTTCAGGGCTGTCAGAACGTACAGCCTCCCTTAGGATTGAGTCATAATGGGAGCATTCAGGGATCCATTGGTGGCAGTAATTAATCATGCCGAGGAAGGTGAGCAACTCCTTCCGAGTAGTGGGTGTTGGAATCCTCTGAATGACCTCAATACATTTTGGACTCAATTGTCTGGTGCCTAAAGCCAGAACAAAACCTAAGTATTCAACCTTTGATTTACACAATTGCATTTTGTGTTTAACAACCTTGTGACCTACAGTTGCTGACAGTATCCACAGTGCTTGCCTCATAGCTAGGGCTACATAACAACAAATCATCAACATTTTGCAAAAAGGACGGAACCATGACCGGTGGTCCATGTTTTTTAGAGTATGTTGGAGTACCAACGAATAAACAGCTGGGGAATCCACATAGCCTTGGGTAAGCGTGTCCAGGTAAACTGACAGCCTTCAAAAAGTAAAAACCATAAGTAGCTGTGTCTCTTGATCAATAGGTATAGAAAAAATGCATTACTTAAATCAATGACAGTGAAGCAAGTGGCATCATGTGGAATGGCTGTAATGAGGGATGTCACATCAGGGACAATGGGTGAAATGGGCACAATTAAACTATTCAGGGCTCTAAAGTCCTGAACTAAGCGATATGCTGGCCAGTGGTGTTGGGAGTGGGTCTGGTGTTGTTCTTGCCTACCGGGCATATTTTGAGAATTGTGGGGTTGTTGGGGTGTGTGGGGTTTCCTGGGGTTTCCTGGGGTGTGGACACTCATTCCTCCAGTGGCCATATTGGCCACAGTTGAAACAAGTGTTCCTGTCTATTCCTCCTTGGTTACCCCTGCCCCTATAACCCTGATTTCCCTGTCTCCATCCCCTTGCCCCTCTTTGACCACCCCTTCCACGGGCTTTATGTGCTCCATCCCATCCTCGCTCTCAGCCTGTGTAGCTGGACATAATATGTTGCAATCCCTGAGCATAATAAGCAACCTTACTTTCCTAAATCTTTTCTTAATTCAAAACAACCTGCATTTTCCTTTTCTATAACCTTGGTAAGAAAATCTGAGCTATCCAAATTGGCCCAGTCTGAAATCAATTGTTTCACAAGCAAAGAATACTGTGGCAACATATTACCAAGGTATGACTGTATTTTAAAAAGATCTATATCATCTCCAGACATCAAACCTGCCTCATCCTTCCAATACTTGTAAAATTTCTTTACAAAAATCATATTACCAATCTCTTCCTTTGCATCTTGCTTATATGCCAAAGCAGTGAAAATAGACTGCTTATTCTTCCATAATCCCAACATTTCAGCTTCCACCTTGTTCCAGATTTTAGCACATCTTACTGAAGTACTAAGCTCATAATCACCAATTCATTTCAAACCATATAACTCATACTCAGCATCCAATGTAATATTAGTCATCTCATAAAACAATATCTTTGTAGAAACACATAATGGGTACCCAGCAGATATGCCAATACAGAAATCACATTTATGGGCACACAACTACACACTCTGTCTCCCTCCTAGGAAACACGGATAGACACAATATAAAAGCAATCTTAAACTAACACCTCCAAATCTCCAACTATTCTTGGCCAAAACGCTAGTATTCAACAACTAATAAAACAGTTATTTGCTAGGTTATTTGGCTGTCATTCTTATCAGTATCACTAGACTGTGACAAACTGATTCACATATAATTTAAAACAATACAGCAACATATAAATTAAACCACTTTCAAGTTAAACTGCACACTTATCACACATTATCACAATCACCATTTACACAGAATAAACAGTTAACAGCTGTATTCAGAACATATTATTGGAAGGTATACCAATTTTAGTTTAGATTTATTTTAGGGATTCTTATGTGTACATTTTCTTAATTAACTTCATTACTTTAATCTACTATAGTATTATATTTAAAGAAAGGATCCATTTATATAGCGCGCTCATAACTCAACTATTTGTATAAAACTACCATTAACTAATCTGAGATGATGCTGCATCAACTTAAATCCTATAGAAATTGAACAAACATCTGGACCAGATTACACAGACATGGTTTCACCTGAATCTTTCAGAACTCTCAGAGACTTAAAAAAAATTATACTATACCATGTTTTAAAGGCATGGCAAACCTTTAGACCGGTCAGTCTCCAAGAGCCCTTAGTAACACAGGTAAAAAACCTTTGTCCATGATTTCTGATTCAGGCTATATACCACAATTTAAAATAACACATAATGTGAGACATAGAAGACACAAGCAGTAGTTATTACACTGGATCATTTAAAAGGAACCTGTTGCAATAAAAGGTTAGTTTACAGTGCAAAATAAAGCATGTGTTGGACCGCTGAAAATGTAAATGTTGCTCTGTTATTTTCAAACAAAAATTATATTTACAGTATGGATCCTTTGCAACAAACACACAGGGCAGGGAAGATGTGCTGATTGGTGTTTCTATACAATTAATCCCATACGGGGAATTAACTTTCAAATACTAATGAAGTGACTTTTTGTCTCAGTTATAAAATATACTGAGCTCATCATGCAATCAATGCAACACATTTACACTATCCCACTCTCATAATAAGTGTAGTGGGCTTATAGTATTTTTAAAGCAACAATCATTCCAGGCACACAGTTCCCATGTGAAATAACTTACAATAAAACAGAGTAATAAACTTATACTTCTATGCGACAGAAAGAATAAAGCAAAAAGATTTAAGTAGGTCTATCAGGTACAACCTGTGAGTCATTTCTTTTCTAATATACAGTACTGCTATCTTGCAGAAAGATAAGTCCTGCGCTCACTCCCATCACTACTGGGCAGCAGCAAGGACTACAGTACACATCAGCCCCAATATATGGTAAAAACCAAAGAAAAACAAGTTACCTGCGTTCTCTCCTTAATCCCTATGTATTTTTAAAACCTCAATTTGTTTAAAAGTACTGCTATCTTATATATACACATATACATATACACACACATATATACATACATATATTGGTCACTCAGGACATGAACTCACATTTCCCATACTGCTGACTCAGAGTGGGGACACTACTAACTTACCAAAGTGTGTCCCCAATATAGACAAACAATCACCCACAAAAAACACTTAAGACAAACAAAGGTGACCGGGAGAAAGAGAAGTTTGGGTTATACTTATAGATCTACAAACCGTGCTACTCAGAACACCTATAGACTTAATAAACCGGAGACCTCTTATGGTCTCAAAAACCTGTATCTACCTGAGATACCCTGTATCTATCTTAGATACTAACCTGGGTTACCAAAACCCTATAATAAACCGGAGACCTCTTATGGTCTCAAAAACCTGTATCTATCTTAGATACTAACCTGGGTTACCAAAACCCTATATATTTAGACCAAATGTCTAATAAACCGGAGACCTCTTATAGTCTCAATATAACTAGAGTCCTTACACCTTTCCTATCTACTGGATACAGTCTTACTGAACCAAAGGGGGGTCATAGACAATCAGCGTCAAATAAGACACAAAAAGGCTACTCACCGCAAATGGTTTTGCTGATCCAACTTCTATCCCACTTCTGACACCAAGCTGAAAGGGTTAATGTTGTAATGGACTCTAATCCCCTCGGTTCTCGATCCCTCGTCACCATAATCAACGTTGATGGAGAATCATTGTAAGCAATAACACACGGACAACAGCTTTACAAGACTCTCAAATGAGTGTATTCCAGAGCTGGCTTTTATACATAGTTTGCTTACATTAGCCATGGTATATGCAAATACAGTACAGACTATAAGATTTATTACTACCTTGTATTACGTTATTCTGACAATGGAAAGATAAGCTTTTGCATACGTCTGGAAAAGAATATCCTTAAAATCGGAATGGGCAAGACATCCTGAAATTTAGCATTGTCTTACATCCTATAGAAGAAATACCTTAGTCTGTCACAGTCAGCATATTATGTAAGTATTCAATATCCCTTCAGTCAGCAATAATCATGTTATAAACCTTATAAAAGCATAAAATACATATAAACAAGTTAACTATTTAATATTCTTACAGATAGGACAAGGGGAGTGTGACAGGATTGAAGGGTTAATATGACAGGTTGAGTGTGACAAGGTGAAGGGTGGTGAGTGTGAAAGTGGTGGAGTATGAGTGTGATAGGATTAGGAGGGATGGATGCGGTGAAGGGGGTGACTTTGTGTATTGGGGTGAGGGAGGGTGACAGTGTTTTGGGGGTGTGTGGGTGGCAGTGAGTGGGAGAAGGTGAGGGTGGCAGGGAGCTGGGGGAGGTGAGGGTGGCAGTGAGTGGGGGAGGTGAGGGTGGCAGTCAGTGGGAGGTGTAGGTGACAGTAGTGGGGAGGTATGAGGGTGGCAGTGAGAGTAGGGAAGGTGAGTGTGGCAATGAGTGGGGGGAAAGTGATGTAAGCAGTGAGTTGTGGGAGATGGTGGTGGCAGTGGTGGAGGTGAGTGTGGCAATGAGTGAGGGGAGGTGTGGGTGGCAGTGAGTGGGGGGAGGTGAGGGTGGCAGTGAGTGGGGGGAGGTAAGGGGGACAGTGAGGGTGACAGTGAGTGGGGGGAAGTTAGAGTGAAAGTGTGGCCAGCCATTACATTACCTGTTTTGTGTAGTCCCACTCTCTGGTGATCCAGTGGTCTCCTCTTCTTCCCTGTACCCTGGTGGTCCGGTGGCAGAGCTGCAGTCACACCATGTGGAAATTGTCTCGCGATCTCTGGCACTTGAAGTCTCAGAGGGTGAGAGATGGAGTGAGGGCAGGTTCACGAGGGCTGGATGGGGAGTGAGTGGGGTTAATGAGGGCTGGATGGGGGTGAGAGGGAATGAGACGTATGGAGGGTGGGGAAATGAGACACATGAAGAAGCTGAGGGGGAGAGAATGAGACTCATGCAGGTGCTCGGGGGAGGGACGAAGACACATGAAGAGGCTGGGGGGAGGGAATAAGACATATGGGGGGTGGGACATAGGGAGGAACTGGAGGGAAATGAGACACATGGAGGAGCGGGGGAGGGTAATGAAACATGTGGGGGGACCTGGGACAATTTTTGCACCGGGGGGCAAGTGGTTTCTAGTTACGCCTCTGTTCTGAAGCAATAGGAATCATATGTGTGTTTTTATTTGATTGGTTTAACTACAGAAAGAAAGGCTTTGTCGCATTCATTGTTTATTTAACTGGAGTCTTAGGGGTATGTTTTTAATTTTATGGACAAAGACTATATATCTCCCTTCCTGAATCCAGCAAATAACAAATGCTCTTGAATATCCATCATATCCATCCATAAACCTACAGAAAATGTAAGTCTGATGCATACTGATGTCTGTACCTGGCACACAGGACAATTAACCTATAAATGCTTATTAACATCATGGTGAGCCACCAAACATGAAGAAGAAATAAGAGAAATATGTATTATAAAAATGTAAAAATGTAAATGTAAAGCTAAACTGATGCCATAGATATTTTTCCAGTGTTAACTCCTGCTCTTGGTCACTAATGCAGAGGCCAGCAAATGACATAAGCAATAAAGATACATGCACCTTGTAGTAATAGATCTTCTTTCTACCACATTTCTGTCATGCTGTTCCTTGACAAGAGTTAATCTGAATTGTTTTTAAATTTTTATGCTAAATATTTCAAAAAAATTAGAAAGTAATTTTGCGATTGTGAAATCACTGTAATTTGATACAATAATGCCGTTCTATCTGCACTTTTAGACTACTTTATCCCTGATGATTTAGTATTTGATGACAACCTTACAAAATATGGCCACCATTTGCCAAGTCTTGCAACTTTACGAAGTAGGTTGAAAATTATCTCTGTTGAAGATCCACTTACAAATTGGCAAAAAACCCTTCCTAACCTTCCTACAGTTGAACGACTTCTCAGGTATGAGATATGTGTGTTTCTTGAATGTAGAAAGTAATCTGGGCATTCCAAAATGTTCCAAAAGATAGGCAATTTTATTGGACCCAAGAAACAAAAAACAACTGAGGGCCTTTGTCAAGCCTGTGTGTGTTTCTGTCATGTCTTCATGTCTTTTACTTTTATTTCACGATATAGTGCACACCACACCACAATATATATATGAATATATATTTATACTTTTATATTTGATACACAAATAGTATGTACCTAATTTTAGTGGAACTCACTCTAGACACAGGGCAGGGTTGGGTAACACATATATGTCTTGTAGGCTAAGATTTGTCAAAATGTATGTGACTGTATATGACAGATGGTTTGTCTATGGAAGAAAGTTCACTTGGAAAGAAAAATCAAATAGTGTTCTTAGACCAAAAATATTTTACTAATCAGAATGGTATTACAAGGAAAATTTGACTTGTAGAGCCAGTTTAAATGAGACATTGTAATTGACTTGAAAAGCCAGTTTAAACCTGACATAATACTTACATGACAAGCACAACATTCTCTGTATAGAGATCCTGCTTGAGTATAAGGTTTTAAAAATCCATAACAGCTGATCACCCTCAGTCTCTTGTACAAAGAGATGTAACATACCCGATACAGACTGTATCTTGCTTGGTAACTCGTGACGTCTCAGTTCATGTGGGATGGGAGAGACTGGATAAGGAATACATGAGAGGTATAGGTGTGTCAGCAGTACAAGTAATACTGTTATTACAGTATTGAGCACATGACTGAATGAGCATAACAGAACTGCAAACTAACTTTAAAGGGTTACTTTAACCCTTTTGAGAGGGGGTACCGTACGGTGTAAAATGTCCTATTGGGCACTGTGGAGAAGGTCCCCACTCTCAATTTGCAGTAAAACCTAACAAAATGGTAATTCAGTGTCTGGCCAGGCTCCCGGTGCTGCTCTTCAGTGCCCTCCACCGATGTCACTGGGGCAGCCCGCGGCTCATTCACTGGCTTCTCTATGAGAAACCTGTGTGTGAAGAAATC